CTTAGGAACAAGAGATCAGGACCCTGCCCTATCCTGAACTATCCTCACAATCTCCAACATGCCCATTGTTATAGTCATGGTTGACATCTTGACAAAGGATGTCTTCTCTTTAGCTGAGCCTCTCCTTCTCTCTGCAGGACGTCTTTTTTCAAAGGACTGGCTGGGGTGTCAGAACCCTTGAAAATTGGCATTTCTTTATTGTAAGACCTACCTTCCCTCTGTAACTTGATTTGTGCCACTCTTAGAGCCTCTACTTGGAATATTAATGCTTTTTCATTTTAGACTCATGTACTTTTAACTTGTTAGTTAAATTTGTGTCTTCTGGGCTGCAACACTTCCATGATACATCTTCAAGGATATGAACATGTATGGCTAAGCACAACAGATAACAGAGTGCATCTAAATTCCAAAATCAATCTCCACAATAGTCTATGTGTTTCCTATTGCCAAAGGGGCCCTTTAGAGTAGTGAGAGATCTTCACCTTGAAACCTACAGCATCCCTTTTCAGCAGGAAGTAGCTAAGAGAATATGTTGTCCCCTTTTCCTTATGAATCAGGGTGAAGTCTCTCTCAGGGAGGAGCGATAGGGAATTGCAAAGGACACACTGACGAAGAACTGGCTTTGACAAGCACTGTGGCAATTGGACAATTAAAACAGACTTTCAAGGTGAGGGGAAGAGGAACAAACTTGGGAGGAGGGTAGAGAAAATAGTGCAACAATGAATGAATGGAAACCCAAAATCTCTGTAAATGTTCATTAAAATTAATAAAATTTCATTTAAAAAGAAATTATAGGGATTTAAAAATAAAATGAAAAAAAGAAAATTGGCATTTCTAGCCATTGTGTTAGCTCCCGTTGGAGGGCATCATCTCCAGCTACCTTGACTGTAGACACACGGTCTTACAAATCATCAACAGTTGTGGGACCAACATAAGAGAATTTTCCACGTTGGAAAATGGCAGTGATGGTGGTGGAGAGATTGTGAAGAGACTGTGGCAAATAGCAACCAGAAGAACCCTGGAGATAAAGGCCACAGTTAAAGGTTTTCCTTGCTGGATCATTGAAAGAAAAGTTGACTTACAATTACTCTAAGATAAAAATTTGCTGGATGATTGAGGAAACCGGAGTTCTCACGCATTTGTGCTGTTGAACTGGATTTTCACTGACTGAGGAATTGTGTGTTGCTGTTAATCTGGTTTGGGAATGCTGCACTAAATCTGGACTTGTGTGACATTCTTTCTCTCTCCCACTCTCCAAGCCATTTCCCTAATAAACCCCGTGACAGTGAGTAAAGTCTGTTGAGTAAAATTATAATGAACATCAGGCCCAATGACTGGTAGAAATTAAGTGCAGAAACATGTGAGGTGGTATGTTTGACCATGAGCTATTGTATGGTGCTATGGACATTATTGATGGGGACAATTCCTCTTTATGAAGTCAGTACTGGCCTTTGCTGATAACAAGTTCAAAGAATGTGAAACACGGTCCCCTAGTAAGTTACAAAAAAGTCCACCCCAAATATTTGTGCATTGTTGTTGTTGTTAATTGCCATCAAGTCAAGCATAACTCATAATGACCCTAAGAACAAAAGACCTGGAACCTTTCGATAACTATAGTTTCTCAAAGTTCATGGAGTTTCCAGAGGCACATTGTTTAGGAAGTGGATGTTTTTGGATTGGATCCATTTTAAGCCTGGAAATTTAGCTAAATGTGTGGAGATAGACACTATGTTAGTGAATAAATTATTGCAACCCTGCCCATAAACGAAAAGTGCCTACAAGTTGGTAAAATATATTTTTATTTGTTCATACAAAGAAATAGTTTGAATTACCAGAATTTCATTTTTCTAGAAACATCTTTCTCTGTGTAAAATTAATTTGTGTTATACATAGGACAAAATACTTGATTAATTTTTTTCTTTTTTTTTTTTGTTTTGTTTTAGTGTATTGGCTATTCTAACATCCAGGTTATAGAAAGACACACTGCTAGAATTTGCACAGTATTTTATATTACTGGGCTGAAGGAAACTCAGTCATAAATTAATGTTATGAAAGTGAGGGGGGACCACTAACCACACCATTACAGTTTATAGATCATCCTTCTTGATAAACTAAAAAGAAAAATGACATTGACTTCTGCGTCAACATTTTTGATACATGCCAAGTGTTTCTGATTTACTAGAATCTTCCATTTTCTTTTCTTACAAAAATATCCTGGTGAGTTCTGAAACCATGTTTCTCCAAAAGCCGTCACTAAAAATGACTCCCAAAGAGAATCCTATGAAGAAGATAATTTCTCCTTCATCATCAGCAAAATTAGTATTTCTTATACAGTCACTAAACCTTAGAGACCCTGGTAGGGGCTATTTACCCAGTTAACATTCTACTGTACAAATAAGTCAAAGAAAGCTCACGATTGATGGGAACAATAAGAACCTCAAAATTTTTTATCATTTTTTTAAATGAAGAAACAAACAAAATGAGATTTGCCTGTAAACTGAAACCCAAAACATGTCCTAGGAAAATTTGCCAACACATCAAATATCCTAGAAGCTAAAAAGTGAAGTGTGATGGAATTGCCGAAAGCAAAGACTTGCAGAACGCAAAGAAGAAAACCAAGGCTCAATCTTGCATGTTGCATAACTTTTCCCAGAAAAAGTTATGAGGACTCGGGGGTTGTAATAACTATCATATGATGAGATGTCACTGGGGGCAGATGCTTTGTCGGGACCAGTCAGAACCACATCCGAGCAGCCCTGGGTGAGAGGCATACGTGCTATTTGATTTATTTGTGTTACATAGACATTTCAGTTTATTAGTGTTAATTACTGACATCTGTTTGGATTCAAGGATTTGACCCGGTTCAGTGTTCATGACTACATGATCCTCCTATCTGATCATTTCCTGTTTCAGGTTTACTTTAAATCAAGGAATGAGCAACCCAATCGAAAATGGTTCCTCCTGGGAGGAGCGCAGGGGCCTGAAGGGAAAGAAAAAGTGCAAGGCCATTTCGCTGGTGCTTTGCGACATGGCTCTGCTGTTCTACATCTGGCCAGCTGTGGAGGACGCGGCTGGAAGGCAGACATGGCAAGATTAGGTGGATGGCTTGAAGTTGATTTTTTTTTTCTTTTACAGTGAGCAATATTATGCTGTGATTAAAAAGAGCTTTTAAAGTTTTATTTCAAATAAGCCTGCCAGTGGGGTGGGGAACTCCAGTATGTTCAATTAGCATTCTCTGATATCCAAGCCACAAAGGGGGAAACCCTGGGGCAGGAGGAGGGGTAACTGTGCTTCCCCCAGAACTGCAGCAGGCTCTGCCCTACTCTGTAGAGTCAGTAAGAAAGCTATGGTGTGAATGTCCCACCTGAGGACAGAGTGGAGGAAAGAGGACAGCCATTCTCCACGCAGAGCCCATGCCATGACGGCTTTGCTGCCGAGCATGAGATAGCCAGACCTGGAAAACAATCTGTTGAGCAATATAAGCCAGGCTGTTGACATCGCTTATGTACCAAGGACGTTTCCATTCAGCTTCTCCAAATGGCTTCCTTTTTCTTTTTTCTATCCGTTTTCTTACACGTAACAGACAAAGTATCGTGTACAAAATACAAGAATATCTTTGTAAATATAACCACCTAACCATTTTTCTATGTTGTGTATCCTCTCATACATCCCTTGATGCTACAATTTCTTTTATGGCTCAGTGTTTCTGGTTTAGAACACCGACGATAGACTATGTCATGTGACTTTACTGTTCTTGTTACCAACTGTCATTAGCTGCTCATTATCAATGATCCCCCCCTGGTTCTCTCAACACAGAGTGAGGGGCAGCCACACAAGTGTCAGGTTCAAGGGCTTACAGACAACATGGGGCCAACTGTCCCAAACTACCTTACAAGGCCCCCCTCCCTCGCTCTTGGCAACAGACCGTACTGTCATTCTGAGATGAACTAGGGGAGAGGTTCCAGACATCATGAAGGGACATGAAGGGATGCCAGAAATCTCTGCCTTTTGGGGTCTCTCTTTTCCCTCCATTGAAGCTGTCACCCTATTGCAATGTGCCCAATGTGGGCTGGCTCTGCACCCAGCAGCACCTGGGCAGCTGACAGGGTGGGATGCACCCGATCCCTTTGGATCTCAAGGCTCAGCACCCTTGCTTTGTGCCAGAGCTCTGCTGGCCACTGGGATTCTTTGGTGTGTCAAAGCAGAACTGCTTTCCTGGAGAACAAAGCATGGTGGGTTTTCAGACAAACCTCTGATGATCTTTATTTCTAAAGATGCATCCAGACATTTCACATGGCAACCCAGGAGAAGCCAAAGCTCGTATCTGCATACACTTCCAGCTGGGAAATTAACCAGGGAATGGGCAGAAAAAAAGATGTGGGGCCATCTTTTAAAAGCCAAGTAAATGAGGCTTGGGAGTCAGATCCCAAAAGGGCTTCCTTGCAAAGGCAGGGGTTCCAGGATGTGCTAAGTGAACTTGGAAGAAACCTGGTCCTCTGATTTGGTATTGCCTTCCTTGGGAATGACCCACACAGAGACAAGGAAGCAACCACATGAGGAAGGACATGCAGAAATCAGCCGTGGGGAAGCAGCTTCACGCAGTGATGAGGTGTAGCCAGGAGGCCACGTGGACACTGGACTCTGAGACCCAAACACAGAAAGAAGGCAAGTGAAGAATCCGGAGGCCTGAAGGCTGAATACCCGTAACAACAAAAATCTCCAAGTTGTGCTTTTCTTTGTGTTAAATAGGATGGGTGGGAGAAAATGGAAGCACCATCAACAGTGAGGCCAAGAACAAGAAAATATCCGAGTTAAACACTTTGGAATGTTAACAGATTATGAAGCTAACTCTCTAAAGAGTGTGGCGAGGCAGCTTAGTGAATTAATTGCTTATGAACTAAAAATAAATTATTATAAAATAGATTTCTGTACATTTTACATACATATAATCTCTCTCAATATATAAGCCACATGGTTAAGTCACACAGCCTGCATCTCATTCAGTTCCAGCCAAAGTCATGGCCCGTCATCTGGTAGAACTTGAGGTTGAAGGGCCGGTAGAAGTCCCGCAGTCTCCGCACCACGTCCGGGTCGATCTCGGGGTGGGTCCTGCCCTTGGTCTTGCCCAGGCAGTGCGGTTTGCTGCTGCCTTCGGCCTTCTTGAGGCAGGGGAAGCCCTTGGTCTTGTTGAAGTAGAAGTGCTTGTCGGTGATGATCCTCTTGAGGCCCAGGAAGTCCTGCACGCGGCCCAGCTCGCCGGCCGGGTCTCGGATGAGCCGCTCGCCGCTCACGAACAGCATCTGGCGCAGCGGGAAGTGCAGCAGCCAGTGCTCCAGGTGCTTGGCGTACAGGCCGATCTGGATGGCGCTCCAGGACGTGTCGATGAGGCCGCTCGTGCGGTTCCGGAACGTCAGGCTCTCGAAAGTGGGGATGTCCGGCCGCTTGGACAGCGTCTGCGTGTAGTCCGAGATGGCTCGGGTCACCGGGTCGCGCACCACCACGATGAGCTTGGTGTCCTTGGACATGGCCGAGATGCGCGCAGGTGCGTCCCGCGTGACGAAGTAACTGGGCGTCTTCTCCATGGTGATCTGCCCTTCCAGGGTCCTCGGCATCAGGTCCCTGAAAAGAGGAAACAAACCAAACTTGGGTGAGAGGTGATTCCTCCTCTGCGCACACATCGCACAGGTAATATTCCCAGTTCGGCTCCCTTCTATTAAAAAAAAAAACACAAACAAACCAGTTACCAGAAAGTCCACCTTCACGCTTGCGACACCATGGGTGTCAGAGTGCAACTGCGCTCCTAGGGTGTTCCACAGCTGAAGACCACCAGGTCTTTGTACTGAGCTACCTCTGGGGAGACTTGAACAACCAACCTTTGAGTTAAGCTGCTAAACTCCCTGCTCAGGTGCATCCCGGGTCTTCCTTTAGTTGCTTGTTTTGCAACAAGTAAAACTAGAAGCAGAGTTTTAGAATCTAAAGGTACACCAAAATTCCACCTGAATTCTGCAGGCCAGAGACTCTCTACCTGAAATTGGAAGAAAGATGGCCAACTTCCTCCCAAACAGTGCACAGCCTCGGGACACCCACTGCTGGGTCAGCCAGGAGTCTGCTGTGATTCAAGGACAACAAGGTGTGAGGCTGAAGGCTGACAGATGTGTTGTCAACAACATGAGTTTGTTTTTGTTTGGTGAACCAGCCGCCTTTTGACAGGTGTCTTTCCTAAGGGACCTGGAGACCTGCCTGCCCGTCTCTCCCTTCTGCCTTTGAACCCTCACCAAGCTGGGCTACACATGCTCGGGCCCTGGGAGCAAACATCTCCCTGGACATCTGTCACATGACTGCCAACAACATGCACATCTGAGAGCCACCAAGCATGGCACAGAAGAAAAAAAGCAGGTGACATCTAACAAAGCATCAACTGACGCAGAACCACAAGAGGAAATGAATAAGGCGCTACCATAGAGATTTCTAATGAAATGATTTACATTCCATGTTTTAAAAAGTGTTGTACAGTATCTGCCACAGCATCAATTTAAATGAAATGCAACTAGGGGCTCTGCAGGAGAGGAGGGCTTCTGTGAAGAGTACAGCAGGCCAGGGTTTGAGCTGTGCAGCAGCTCTGTGTAACATGAGAAGCTGAATTAAGCTGGAATACAAGTCAGCAGCAAGAGGCTTAAGTTTGCTTGACTGGGTTTTTGTTTATTTGTTTCTGCAGACAGAATGATCTACCATAGTCACAGTAGCCATGATATCTGGGCCAAAAAGCATGTTCGAGTGTCAAAGAAAACTAAAAAATAACATGATTTGATTATATAAGACTTTGGTTCTGAGTCATTAAATCGAAAGACATACAGCTGACATTCTAAAGCAACGGGATGAGTTATTGTATAGCCTCTCTGTTATGTGGCTTTGCTGCTATAAAATACATGGTGGTTAAACGTCCTGGCCAGAGTTTAGAAACAGAACATGTTCAAGGAAGCCCATATTAACCAACTAATGAGACACTAAATTTTGTTCACAAAGTTGCACTCTTCCATTAGACACACAATATGTAGAGAAGTTTGGCTTATTCTCACCTGGGCACAGCAGTAGGAAATGGAAACAGCATCAAAAAAAAAAAAAAAAAGCAAGCAAGGGATGAAGTATGAAGTGAGAGGACAGGAAGGAGAGAAGGAAGAAAGCTTTGGATCAGGAAGGAGGTTCATGTGGGGAGACAGACATGAACAGAAGAGTAAGTGTGAATGCAAAAGGAAGCACCTACGTCAAGTTTCACTGCACCTCAGGAGACGGAGACTTGAAAGGCAGGAGCTGGAAGAGTGACAAGTGAGTCATCCGCCTGTGACAGACTCGGGGAGTAGAAAGGCAGGGAGTCTATCATCTCATTTTATCAGATCCTGCCAGCTGCCACGGTGTCTCAACTCCACTCAATTCAACTCGCAGCTGCCACGTCTAAACTGATTCACAGGTGACCAACCCTCCACTGCATTTCCGAGGCTGCAAATCCCATGGGAGGTGATCACCCATCTTTCCCCCTCAGAAGCAGCTGGTGGATTCGAAGGCAACTCTCTATGGATGATGCCAACAGAGCTCATAGATGGCATCAAGGACAGTCCAAAGACAAACCAAGCCCTCTGCTGGCTAGTAGATTCTGACCCACAGTTACCCTACAGGCACCACAGACGTGCTCCATAGGGTTCTACTGAGGCTTAGGGCTTAACAGGCATAGAGACTCACGGTTTTTATACCACAGAACTGCTGGTTGGAATCACACTGTGCTAACCTCTCAGCTGGCAGCCAAATGCTTAACCACTGTGCCACCAAAGCTCCCCTCTAGGACAGTAGCAGATACCTAAGAAATGGACGGATAAAAGGTTCACGTTGGTTAATCAAAGCACTAGAGATTTGATTCTACACAGAGGCTCCTCCAAAGAAAGGCCTGGCAAGCTGCCTGCAAGAAAGCAACCAACTGGAAATGCGATGGAGTGCAACTCTATGATGCCACGCACTGGCTGGCCATGAGCTGCAGTCAACTTGCCAACAACTAGCTGTGTGGTTAATGAACAGATTTTGAAAGGATCAATGGATAAGTGGTCTTGCTGAGTGGTGAACTCTGAATGGAAATATTAAAGGTTAAGAACATGTCCTTTGGTATAAATGGACCTGGATTCATTTCTCTATCTGTTGTGTCAGTAGGAGGCAAATTGCTTTCTCTCTCTGAGCTTCAGGATCCTAAAATGTACAAACAGTAAAAATGCCTCCTCCCCCTGCAGTCCTTGGAAACCCTGGTGGTTTAGTGCATCATCGTTCAAATGCACCAGCTTCTCTGAGGCCAAATGATGGGTAAATTTTTCCTATAAAAATATTTATAGCCTCAGAAACTTGACAGAGGGTCGCAATGGGTCAGAACCATTTCGTGGCAATAGGTTCTAGTGTCAGAGTGAGGGTTTTTTTAAACGCTGAGGCCATTTAGTTTAGCAATTAAAGAACGTGAGTCCAGATGTCAGGCTACCTGGGTTCAAATCCTGCCACTTAAAAGTTGTACAATTGCCAGCAACGTCACATTTTCTAGCCTTGCCTACCAAAATGGAAACACTCATACCCACACTGCATGAGAATTTAATGAGGATTGAAACAATTCATAATCATCATATACTTGACATAGGACATGCACTTGAGAATCATTAGCTATTATTATTTTTATACATCCTATAGCACGTGGCAAGACAGAAATAGAGAAGGTACATATTCAAAAAGAGAGGGGAAATTTTGTTACCCAAACACTAAGTTTTGGCCTTAGATTCGTAATCTTCCATTAACTAAGGGAGAGAGATTTCTGGTGTATTCCCACCTAGGCACAGAATAACAGAAGACCATTTTCACATCATTTCAGACCAAATATTTACCTCTCAGCAGGGCATTCTAAACTTCCAATTTAAAGTCAGCCTAATCTCCTGGGACCGCAACTCCTCCACTGAGCACATTTCTAGAAATGATGGTATAAACTGTTTATCACAAAAGCCAGATAGGCCAGTTCCCAGGAGAGTTCCTTCCAGGACCGGGCCATCGGGACGTGAGAGAAGAACGTGTGTGTCTGCCCCAGACGAGACCTCCCCACAGCACTGAGCTATCCTCGGCTGACACTAAACCTGGATTGACCCATTTTGCCTATTAACCACTTAGATGGCGGCAGCAGCAGCATCGGGCTAATGTGCTGGCGGATTAAAGAGAGACCAGGCACTCAACTTCTTTTTCATTTCCCTGGCAACAGGTCAGGAGGGGCAAAGCCTAGATAAAGTGTGATAAAGTGTGATTGGACCACCACCAAGAGAGTAATACTCAAAGTGCTGCCACTGAGATTCCAAACAGTCCTGGACCGGAAGCCACTTGCAGGAGGGGCGCTTTTGGGGTCTGTCCTCAGAGAGGCAGCCTGGCCCACCACCTAGGAGTCCACTGGGCTGGACTCTCCACCCCATTGGTGACCCAGTGTGTGCAACCCTGTGAAGGTTACTCCACCTACCCCTGTCTCTATTTTCTCAAATGAACAATAAAATACATGATGAAGTCCATTTCACCAGTGGCCAGCACTCAGCCTGAGCCTGCTCCCTGTGGGCGCTGAGAACACTCACAGGGCCTTGACAGGGCCAGAAGGAAGCAGGTTTGCACACAAGGGACTTGTCACTTGTTCCACCCCACAAGGAGCGAAGGGGAAGCTGGGCTCCCAGGAGGGGAAATGGAGCGGAATGCCGGACTCTGCCGTCAGCCTGCCCGGGTCCAGCATTGGCTCAAGACCTTGCTGCTGCCTTTTCCTCAAGGCCCTTAAAGAAGCCTAATGAAGGCCATGGTCTTCTATGCTTCAGAGAGTTGGACAATGACTAAGGGTGACAGAAGAAGAAATACCTTTGAGTTGTCGTGCTGAAGAAGAGTCTTGAACATACTATGGACTGCCAAGAAAACAAATAGGTCTGTCTTGGAAAGTGTGAAACCAAGTCTCTCCTTGGAGGCTAGGATTCTGAAGCTCCACCTCACTCACTTTTGGCATGTGACCAGGAGAGATTAGTCCTTGGAGAAAGACGTCATGCTTGAAAGGGTGGGTGGACAGCGCAGGAGAGGGAGACCCCGAATGAGATGGATTGATACAGGCACTGGGGCAATGGAGGTTGGTGTGTCAGAGTTAGTGAGACTGGCTCAGGACAGGGAAGGGTTCAGAACTGTTGTGTATAGGGTCACTATATGTCACAGGTGACTCACTGGCACATAAAAACAAAATAACATACTATGGCAGGTTTTAGAAGCAAGAGTGGCATCCACTTCCTAAATAACCTGCCTCCAGAAACTCTATGAACTTTGATAAATGTTGGTAGTTATAGAGGAACTTCAGGCTTTTTGTTCATAGGGTCACTATGAGTCATGCTCAACTCGAAGGCAATCAACAACAACAATGAAAATGAACAAAACTGTGAATAGGCAACTGTGAGTATGAAACCACCTAGTAAAACACCAGTTTTCTAGTAAAACACCAGTTCTCGTCAACTCTTAACTCACAACGACCTCATGCACATGAAAGCAGAACTGTGCTCCACAGTGCTTTAGTAATTAGTGTTTTCAGAAGTAGATCACCA